AATAAGACGAGTGGTCAAATAGTTCAAACAAAAACTCAAAACCCCTTATATTATGGGACGGAGGGAGTATGTCACAGTACAAGTTGCTTATTAGTATGTCCCACTAGTACCAACTTTTTTTCTCTCCCCTGTATCTCCTATCTTCTTTCCGCACCGCAGAGAGCGGCGAACGCCTCACCGGTGCACCACCCTCCTTTCCCTCGCCCCACCCCTCGAAACAACGGCGTGGTCGGTGGCACGGTAACGGTGGACGGATTGGCGGCACGGTACCGGTGGACGGATCGGCGGCGGAGAAGTCGGCGGTGCGGCTCAGGAGGCGCAGGCCGGCGAGAGCGCCGCCGCTTCACCGCCGTCGACCACATCCACGCCGGCACTCCCGTTCCCGTCCCTCTCTCGGGCCCCTCATCTCCCAGTCGGTGACGAGCATCGAGAGCTCGGAGGGCGACGACAGTGGCGCGGATCTGGAGTGGCACGGGAGCTCGGCTGACACGTCATCCTCCTCCTCACCTGGCCACCGCCCTATCCCCCTACTCCAAATCCTAGCTGACGCCCCCTGGCACTCCTCCCTCCCCGCTTCAGATCTGGTGCTGCCGACGACGTACGCAGCAATGGAGGCGGTTGTTGCGGCGGTGGCGACAGGATGAGAGCGGCGGCGGATTTGCGTCCTCCTCACCGTCCCTTGCCGGCGAAGCGACAACCCAGGTGGTGGTGCCGGGAGGAGCGGCCGCCGCTTCCTCACCGGTGCTGGCGCCGAGGTCTGCAGCCGCCGCCCCACCCTCTTTGCTTGCGCCGGCGAGCCCCTGCCCCCCCCCCCCCCCCCCCCTCCACCATTGTTTTTCCTCCCCTCTCCTGCTTCTGGTCACGCACAGACGAAGCTCCTGCTCTCGGCTCTCCCACTTTTTCTGACAAACTGACGAGGCGCGTGTTATCCAAATTGGTCACGAGAACCCCATAAAAACATGGTCCGCACTCCCTTCTCTCCTCCACACAAGCAATTTATCTACGTGGCTATTCCGGACCAAATGCCATGGAGGAGCACTGTGAACACCCTAGCAGGGAGACATTTATAACCAACCATTTGCTCTACGTATTGTAATTAGCTAAAATATTTTGAACTCTAAAATTTAATGTTAGAGGTCTTTTATGGTAGTTTATTCTCAACACTATTTTTTAGATCGCTAAATACATACTCCCTCCGGTTTCATTTTAATTGGCGTTTTGGACAATGACACGCTCTACAAGATATATATTTGACCTTATTTTTCTATTATAATATATACAATAAATAAATGCATGTTTACTTGTATTGTAGTGTTTTGAAAGACAAATCTATATATGTTTTTCTAGTTTCTTTAAACTAAATATTTTTAAAGTTATTGATGGTCAAAGTTATAAAAGTTTAACCTCAACCTTGTCCAAAACGTCAATTAATATAGAACCAGAGGGAGTAGATATAAAAGTATTTGTTATAACCTTTTAGTTATTGATCTCATCCCTTTGTCAATCTATACAACTACTAGTAGTAGTACTCCAATATTTTTCACTCTCATAAATGACCAAAATTTGTTTCTTACTTTGTCCATTCACAAATATAATTATTTCTGTACTATTTAATAGCGGCTAAAGTCGAGGAGAAAACAAATTTGAATGGGATGGGATTGATAGGATAAGTAATATTATTAAAATCTTATATTTATGGATAAATTTTTAACATTTAGAATGTTCATATTTATAGATTTACACATGTGGCCGGCCAACAGCCTACGAAAAACCTGATTTCCACAGGACTTCAATGACAGGCGGAGTATTTGTCCACCTCGCAGATCAATTTTGGCCACCTGGAAAAAGTATACTCCCTCCGTTTAAAAATGTTTGACACCGTTGATTTTTTAGCACATGTTTGACTGTTCGTCTTATTCAAAAAAATTGTGAAATATGTAAAACTATATGTGTACATGAAAAAATTATGAAATATGTAAAACTATATGTGTACATGAAAGTATATTTAACAATGAATCAAATGATATGAAAAGAATTAATAATTACTTAAACTTTTTAAATAAGACGAATGGTTAAACACATGCTAAAAAGTCAAAGGCGTCAAACATTTTGAAACGGAGGGAGTATTTTCATAGTAGTGCTACTCCACATCGAGTCAGGGCATGAACCAGCATGGTACGGGACATGTGTGACCTCACCGATGTTAGGTGGAGCAATGGCATGGCTAGCTAGGGAGGGTTATGGCGACTGTAAATTAAAGGACCCATACGATCCCTTCTTGTGGGCTTGAGCTAGAGCGAGGAGGCTAGAGCATTGTGGTTGTGAGCTTGGCGAAGGCAATGGAAATGGTGGTCACAGCGACAATCGGTCGTTGATTGTCTCAAGAAATAAAGTGTTTCTCGATCTAATGGCGTAACCGCGAAACCAGCAGCCGAATAAGCCCATCATCATCCATCCTCTCACTAATGCCATTACCCAAAACAATACCATTGCTGCATTCCAGGATCGACAAAGGAGCACAGTGGTTCTAGGCTCAATTTTGAGGATAGGATAGGAGAGAAAGTCCAGAGAAAAAAAGACTTTTCACATTAGTAATCTGCAAGGGTGGAGTTAAGTCGATGGTGTCATTGTCAACTCTAATTGACGATCACGATTTAATTGAAACAATAATACATATGAAAAATACGAGAAATTCCTCACAATAGTGATTGCTCGGCCTATGTTTCACCTAATCACTCAAGAAAACTTATGATGCATGGACTTTATTTAGCCGTTGTGCATAGTCTTGTTGAATTAATTAGTCATTGAGCATAGTCAGATAACTATAAATTATACAGTTTGCTAGAAGTTAATTTGTTGCCGTTGTCCAGTTGTTCATGTCCATATAAACTAACTTGTCTAACGAAAGCAAGATTTACCGTGTCACTCATTTGAAAATTAGAAAGGTACCAGACTATTATGGAAGTCAATAATGTCCATATACGTTAGCTCTGCCTATGGTAATATGTTCCATAAATGACAAAAAATAACAAAAAAAATTATCAAATCTTCTCTAATAGTAAATATATGTACTACCAATTATAAATTGACAAGTGAAGAGTAGTCACTAATAAGAAAATAATAAGTAAATTGAGATTCCACGGACATAGTAGCGATCAGGGTTAGAAATCACCAAAATTTTCGAAAATTTGGGTGATTTCAGCACTACTTTGAAGATAACCCCAGCTGAACGACTGTAAATTTCGGTCATTTTGGACACTTCCAATATAATATTATTTCGGTCGAAATTTATAATTCTTGTTAGATTTTTTGTGAAATTCGGTAATATTTGCTCAAATTTAACTAATTTTTGTTTAAAATTTTGAAAATTCGGATCGAAATTTGGGTCTATCCGTGACCTCCGATCTAATCGGTCAAAACCGATAATTTAAAGGGAGTAGGTACGTGCATTTCGTAGGTACGGTAGGTTGGCACCACGAGTTTATGTGAAAGCATGGGCGCATCTGATAACCGTGGTCTCTCGGGTACCGGTACCTGGAAGAGGACACTGCCGGACTGGCAAGGCCCACCTCCACGTGTGACTGTGTGTACACGTACAGGAATCTCGATGCTTTACGTGTGATCTTTGTGTGCGAACGTATAGGAATCACGATGCTTTTGGAGATTGGCGTAGGAGTGCGTGCTGCTGCCTGCGGATCCCAAACGCAAACGGGGCGAAAACAGAGGCCGCAGATGGGCAGCGCCGATAGCAGCGGCAGATATGTAGTACTACGAGCAAAATAGTGTGAGTAGCTAACTACTGGCTTCAATTTATCTATACCCAATCTAATAGCTTATTTATAAAATAGTTATATACTACACTATTAATATATAGTCCTACATGTCATACATACACTGTGTCTTGGAGTCCGTGCTATAGCTGGCTACAAATCTGTAGCCCGCTGCCCTTCTCTCTCCTTATTTATTTTCTTAAAATATGTTTGCAGCTGGCTTATAGCCTGCTATTGTACCCGCTCTACTAGTATTAATTTTCAGAATTTTACTTCTACGTATATACACCACTGTTGGTTGTTGGTCTGTTGCACACTAATACTACTTCCTCCATTCCAAAATGTAAGCATTTTTAAGGTTGGCACGGGTATTAAGAAAGTAGGTGAGAATGATTGAAAAAGGTGTGTGATTGGTTCAAAAGAGAAAGTAGATAAAAAAGAATGGTTGTGATTGGTTGAGAGGAGAAGGTAGGTAGAAAAATAGCTTTATTTTGGGACAAAGTACTGTTTTAAAAATAGCTATATTTTGGGACGGAGGTAGTAGTACAGTAGTACTATGGTTTGTGGGAACACACAGACGTGAGCATTCAATGAGTACACGTATATACTTCCTACTCCCTCCGTCTAAAAAAAAGACAAACCCTGATTTCCGTGCCCAACGTTTGACCGTCCGTCTTATTTAAAAAAAATATGAAAAAAATTAAAAAGACAAGTTACGCATGAAATATTAATCATGTTTTATCATCTAACAATAATGAAAATACGAATTATAAAAAAATATCATATAAGACAGACAGTCAAAGTTAGACACGAAAACCTATGATTTGTCTTTTTTAGATAGAGGGAGTACACACTAACACGCGTGTATACACGTATCTGTGCTATAGATGGATACAAGAAATCTCACATAGTCCAGACTCCAGAACTCCGGATCGCATCGCAATGCCTTCTTCACGTGCCTATTCTTGTTTCTTATGACTTTTAAACCTTTACCCCTTAGGTCTCTCACAGTGCAGCGTTCTCTTATCCCATTCCATATAGGATGAAGACCCGGATCCAAGTTTTTTATTCCCACAGTGCAAATAGCCTCATGAGTAACTTACTTTTTTGTTTCAGCCCCTGTAACTTTCCATTTCAGCCCTCACGTGTTTATCAATTTACAAAGAAGTCCAAATTTTACAGTAACCACCCTAAAATCGAGAGAAGAATATAAATCTCCACCCATACTACTTTACCCAAATCCCCCAACTACTCCTCCCTCACGGTCACGCCGGCTCTCTCCCCTCCTCTCTCCGCCGGCGCTGGCTCCCCTCCTCTCCTCCGCCGGCGCCGGCTCTCCTCTCCTCCAGCGAAGGACGGCGACGAACTCGACGAAGCGGGTTAGAGCGCGGGGCGGGAGACGGCGACGCGGGGGCACAGGAGTGGGAGATGGTGACGAGTTCGGCGGCGGCGGCGCGAGATCTCACCGGCCCCTCCACTTCTGGCCGGCGATGAGGGCGCGGAGGGCTGCGGCGACGCGAGGGCTCACCGGGCCCCTCCACCCCCGGCAGTGTCTCGACGACGGATCCGGCGTCGGGCGAGCGGCATCCTCGGGGCTTGGCGTAGAAGCAACGGTGGGAAGACGGCGGCGACAGCGCTCCTTCGAGGTGGTGGCGGCGGCGTGGATCTGAAGCGGTGCGGGAGCTTAGCCTCCACCGGAGCTCGACGGCGCCGCCCGAACCTTGTCCGGCGTGGATCCGGCCTAGAGCTCGATGGCGCCGCCCGGACCTCGCCCGGCGCGGGGTGGCGCCGCCGGACATGGAGCTCTAGCGGCGGCGGAAGAATCCGAGCTCGGCATGGCATCCTTCTCCCCCGGCTTTGTTTCAACCTTTTCAGAATCGGAGCTCTTCACATGTGTTTATTTTAGCTTTTTGAAGTGTTTGTTTCAGCTTTTTCAAGCGAGTTCCTCGCGTCCTTGTTAAGGGACGAAAGCCTCAGCGAAGGAACGAGGGCCCACACCCTCTCTCCTCTACAACATCAAACAGCCTATGTGGAGGGGTGAAGCAACCCGCCATGTTGGTACACTGTGAAGGGCCTTAGAGGGACACTACTACATAACTCTAATTCAGTTCTGGTTGTGAATCTCATATAGATATCGGATTTACTTAACCGAGAGACGATATAGTAAGCATGTCGGTGTCGGATTAAGAACATACCTATATGAGTTGTACGACTCAATTAAAAAAATACAGGCTTAGCTCAATTCAGGCTGATGCTTTAAATAAATAAACATTTTTTAAAAAACAAAGAAGCCGCAAGTTCACGTCACAATCGAACATTCATCGCTCAACATCCGAGAACCGAAGTACACAAGCACATCATCATAGAATCAACACACAATACACTAATCGCAACACCTAGCCGCCATCATAGTGGAGAACTCCGCCCGTTGCCATAGCTCGCTGGGGAGGGCTTCGATGCCGCTTACCATCCCTAGGTCCATGCGAGAGAGCGACATCGCTGGATCCGCCCACAAGTCATTGTCACTGCTGGATCTGCCCGCAAGAGCACCCGCCGCCGCGAGAGCCCTTGCCGCCGCTGGATCCGCCTGCTAGAGCCCTTGCTGCCACCAGATCAGCCCACGATGGCACCCGCCGCCACCGCCGTGAGAGCCCTTGCCGCCACTGGATCGGCCTGCGAGAGCACCCACCGCTGGATCCGCCTGCTAGAGCCCTTGCTACTGCCGGATGTGCTCGCAAGAGCACCCACCGCTGGATCCGCCTGCTAGAGCCCTTGCTGTTGCCGGATTTGCTCGTGAGAGCACCAAACACCACTAGCGCTCGATCCGCCTGTTGCTGCCACCTCCGAATCCATGCAGTTGTTGATGCTGGTCGTTAACAGCAGTATGCCGACGAGCTCAAGGAATTATTGATTGGGAGCATGCCAAGGCACCATCGAGAGGGAGGAGGCACGACGTAGGGGGAGATGAGGGGTTGTGGCGGAGGCGGTGGTGGCTCGTGGAGCAGGGATTGGGGAGATGGGAGAGGGAGAGAGTAGGGGGAGAGGAAGTGAGCGAACGTAGAGCCGTGGAGGTGAGGGAAGCCGGTTTTTTCCTCCACCCACTCGGCTAGGCTCATTGCTTAATAGGTGACGGTTTTTTTAAAAAATGCACGTTTGATTATTTCAAATGTACTAGCCATTGAAAAAAAAACGGCACCTATATTTGGGTGGAAATATAGGTTCCGTTTAATTTTCAGAACCGACACATATAACTCACGATTTTGCTATATATTTATTGACATTTTTTCTCCTAAAAATTTATGAAATTTAAATACAGGACAATTATAGTATAATTATATTGTAACTTGTATGCAATTTTCACATAATTTTAAATCGTTAGATTTACTTCAAGATTCGTGCAAGTTGGGAAGAAAAAAATCACTCGCACATGGGTGAGGAGAGTCAATCTTGCGATCTCTCTGGTTCAAAAAAAACCGTATTTCCATGGGATTTTTTAAAGTTGCATACAAATTACATCGTACTTACATTTACATTTACATCATGTAATACAATGTAATATTTGCGTTTGTTAAATTTTTAAAAGAAATTTATTGATAAAATGTATAGTTATTCCCTTAACTTATCATTGGTGCCGACTCGAAGATTTGGTCTTCCATGATGGTTGGAAGGAAAAAAAAAGGGTGTAGCTATATTTATGGCGCCATATTTTTCATCAAAAAATAGTCGGCATGTATTTACATTGTAAGTCTCTAAATTACATATGTAATTTTAGTGTATTTACAATATAAGTCTCAAAATTACATATGTAAGTACTAAAATTACATATGTAAATTCGAAAATTACATACTAATTACATATGTAAGTGGGGTGTAAATGAGGTGTAACTACTGTGTAAGTGGCTGAAAAAAAATCGACTGTAACATATGGCGCTATATTTCTAGCAACTCTGAAAAAAAAAAGGTGTCGATTTATATCGAACTGGCACATACAGGAGCGTTCTTTATTAGGATTCTGTACTGGTTGGGTCATGACTATATAGCTACGGAGAAAATCGATCACCCTTCATTGAACTTTTTGCAAGTTTTTATTAATTACTAGAAATACAGCAGGATGCAGACGATGAATTGGCTTGGCAGATATTGTACTAGCAATTTTTACGCCGCTATACAAGCTAGTTCTGCCGCGCCGATATATCATCACTGCACTGGAACGGCATTAATAAATGTAGATCGTCGCATGTATCCTGCATGGGAAGCTGCCCTGCATTTGGATGATTTACGTTTATGGAACTACTACTGCCTAGCTCCCCTCTCCTGTGAATGTTTGCACTGTGAATTGAAGCCGACCACGACTGCTTGCCCTACTGCCGACGTTTGGCCATCGTCGGCTACTATAGCTGCTGTTGGGACGACCCAAATCTCGCGTAAACGACGTCGTCTCCCCGCCGCAACTCCCGCCGCCGGCGATCGGCTGCCTGCGGCTACCACCGCCAAAATTGCGATGTGTCGCCACTTCCCTGCTGTAAACCAGACCGCCGCTGAGCATCTATGTCCTAATGTCAAGCCAAAGCCTACAACTACTTAGCTGGAATGTGAGGGGGCTTAACTCCCCGGAAAAGTGTACTGCACTAAACGAGCTAATCGCAGAGACATATTGCAACCTCGTCTGCATCCAAGAAACCAAACTAAGAGCAGTTGATGACCAGCTAGCCCGTTTCTTGGGAGCCTACAGGCTAGACAGTTACGCTTTCAAACCGTCCAGGGGCACTAGGGGAGGCATCCTACTTCTGTCGAACAGCATGGTGATCTCGGTGCACAGCACTCGCATAGGTCGTTACTCGTTGACAGCGAATATAACTGTCCTACGCTGCGGAACAAGCTTCATGCTCACCACGGTCTACGGCCCAACGCGTCACAGAGAAAAAGACTCCTTCCTCCGTCACATAAGGAGTTTAAAACCGCCCCCGGGAAACAAATGGCTTATCCTAGGAGATTTCAACTTGATTTATCGGGCACGAGATAAAAACAACAACAACCTAAATTTAGGCCGAATGAGTCGCTTCAGAGCTGCACTCAACCGCTGCGAGCTAAAGGAGATCCACCTCCAAAACAGGAAATTCACAAGGAGCAATGAGAGACGACGACCAACCCTTGTAAGACTTGATAGGTTTTTTTGCAATGAGGAATGGGACCTATCTTTTGACCGCCACATCCTACACGCTCTTTCAACAGGACCCTCCGATCACTGCCCGTTGTTGCTCACCGACCCATCCTGCCCACGTAAGCCTAAAGTTACCCGGTTTCAAGGAGGTCGTAGAGCAAGCTTGGGGGAAACCATCGAATCACACCGAGCCTATGCACCGGCTTGCCTATAAGCTACGGAATACGGCCAAAGAACTAAAACGGGGGGCGAGAACCACGTGCTCTGAGACTAAGCTGAAATACCATATGGCCCTAGATGTCATCCTACGACTGGATGTGGCCCAGGAACAACGTACCCTTTCGCCGGAGGAAGGGAACCTAAGAGCGGCCCTGAAAAGGAGAGTTTTGGGTTTAGCGGTGATTGAAAGAGCGAGAAAGAGACAAGCGTCACGAATAACGAACATAAGAGCAGGTGATGCAAACACCAGGTTTTTCCACCTCAAAGTAAACTCCAGAAGAAGGAAGAATCATATACATCGCCTCCGCAAACAAAACGGGTAGGCAGTGACGCACGAAGAAAAAAGCCAAGCGATTTTCGACCACTTCTCCCTCTTCATGGGGAGGCCGCAAGAAAGATAACTGGATCTAAACTGGCAATCCCTAGGGCTAGAGACAACGGATTTAAATTCGCTCAATGAACCTTTCACCGAGGATGAAATCAAGAGAGCAATTTGTCGCATGCCGACAGACAAAGCACCTGGCCCTGATGGTTTTACCGGGTGTTTCTTCAAAGCATGCTGGGAAACCATAAAAAATGACGTCACGACAGCTTTCAACGCCATCTACAATCATCGGTGCAATCATCTAAACCTCCTCAACTCGGCAAACATCGTCCTCGTCACAAAAAAAGATGGTGCAGAACAAGTCTCCGATTTTAGGCCAATAAGCCTTATACACGGGTTTGCAAAAATCTTCTCAAAATTACTGGCCCTTCGGCTACAGCCTCTCATGCACAAACTTGTCTCAACAAGCCAAAGCGCTTTCATTCGGGGAAGGAGCATACATGACAATTTCCTATATGTCAGAAGTATGGTGAGGAAGTACCACCGAACCAGGCGGCCGATGCTTCTGTTCAAGCTGGATATCTCAAAGGCTTTCGATTCAGTACGATGGGACTACCTCCTAACACTTCTTCAGCATCGAGGCTTCCCCCAACGTTTTTGTGACTGGGTTTCGGCTCTGTTCGCAACTTCCAGCTCCAAGATACTCCTAAACGGAATACCGGGTACCAAAATAATTCATGGGCGAGGCCTAAGACAAGGAGACCCCCTATCCCCGCTAGTCTTCATCTTAGCAATTGACCCGCTTCAAAGACTACTTAGCAAAGCGACAGAACTCAAGCTACTAAGCAAGCTACAAGGAAAGTCTGTGACACTACGTACTTCCCTCTACGCGGATGACGCGGCAGTCTTTATTAAACCAGGAAAATCCGAAGTGTAGAATTTCACTGCCATTCTACATCGCTTTGGCCTCGCAACCGGCCTACGTGCAAATATAGAAAAAACACAAGTGGTGGCCATCAGGTGTGAAAACGTGGACCTGGATGAGGTGTTCCAAAACACCCCGGCAACAAGAGCTTCCCTACCTATGAAATATCTTGGACTTCCCCTAACAACGGGCAAATTGCGCACGGCAGACCTACAGCCGTTGTTTGACAAATCGGTGGGAAAAATGGCAGTTTGGCGAGGTAGAAACTTGGGACTCGCCGGACGAACTACACTAGTCAAATCAGTGCTATCATCACAGCCGGTCTACCTTCTTACCGCGCTAAAGGTCTCCAAGGAATCGATGGAGACGCTTGACAAGCAAAGAAAGAGCTTCCTCTGGGCAGGATCGGAAAAGCTAACGGGAGGAAAATGTAAAGTAAATTGGAAAAGAACCTGCTCACCGACTGTCTATGGTGGTCTGGGCATTCTGAATTTA